CCTACAGCCATCTGATCTTTGACAAAGGCACCAAGTCTACACACTGGGGAAGAGACTGCCTCTTCAGCAAATGGTGCTTTGAAAACTGGATATCCATATGCAGGAGAATGAAACTAGACCCGTATCTCTCACCATATACCAGGATCAACTGAAAATGGATTAAAGAATTAAATACACACCCTGAAACAATAAAACTCCTTAAAGAAAACATATGGGAAACACTCCAGGAAGTAGGAGTGGGTAGAGACCTCATGAATACAACCCTGAAAACACAGGCAACCAAAGGAAAACTAAACAAATGGGATTATATCAAACAAAAAGCTTCTGCACAGCAAAAGAAATAATTTGCAGAGTGAAAAGACAACCAAAAGAGGGGGAGAAAACATTTGCAAAATTTACATCTGACAAAGGATTAATATCCAGAATATACAAGGAAATAAAACAACTTTATAGCAAAAAAACAAATAACCCAATTAAAAAATAGGTAAAGGGTCTAAATAGGCATTTCTCAAAGCAAGACATACAAATGGCCAACAGGCACATGAAAAAATGCTCAACATCACTCAGCATCCGGGAAATGCAAATCAAAACCACTTTGAGATACCACCTCACTCCAGTCAGGATGGCTAATATCCAAAAGACTGAGAATGATAAATGTTGGAGAGGTTGCGGAGAAAAAGGAACTCTCATACACTGTTGGTGGGACTGCAAAATGGTGCAGTCTTTATGGAAAATTGTATAGAGGTTCCTCAAATAATTACAGATAGATCTACCATATGACCCAGCTATTCCACTGCTGGGAATATACCCACAGGAATGGAAATCATCATGTCAAAGGGATACCTGTACTCCGATGTTTATTGCAGCACTATTTACAATAGCCAAGAGTTGGAACCAGCCCAAATGTCCATCATCAGATGAGTGGATAAGGCAACTGGGGTATATCTACACAATGGAATACTACTCTGCAAAAAAAAAAAAGACTTTATAGATTTTAAAGCATGAGTATTGACAAACAATTGAATAATGAACATCGAATTCTTTTTTTCTTTTTTTTTTAAAGATGACTGGTAAGGGGATCTCAACCCTTGACTTGGTGTTGTCAGCACCACGCTGAGCCAGTGAGTGAACCAGCCATCCCTATATAGGATCTGAACCCATGGCCTTGGTGTTATCAGCACTGCACTCTTCCGAGTGAGCCACAGGCTGGTCCTACGAACACTGAATTCTGATGCCCCTTCCAAAAGAAAGTGCATTCTGAGGTTAGAAAAGATAAAAATTTATCTATATGTTCTCATGGCAGTCTTGTGGTTTAGTTTTTATATATATTTCTTTAACTTATCAAAATTTAATTTCATTTCTGATGTGAGATAAGGAATAAACCACATTTTCTTCAAATTTAACGAGTTATACTAACATTTATCACATCTCCTTTTCCCTATACATCGTTAAATGCCATAAATCTCTTTTAACTAAATTCCTGTAAATTCTAGGAATTATGCTAATTTGTTTATTGGATTTCTGTTGTTGTTCTTTTACTTTCAGTCATCTGTTCATACGTAAACAGCAGTAGTTACTTATTCTAGCCTATATTATACTTTAATACTTACAAGAAAAGGTCTCTATTTCTTCTATTCAATTTTTTTTTGGCTGTATCTAGCATTTTTGAGATAAATTTTAGAAATGCTTTGGCAAGGTCCAGGACATTCAGTGAAATTTAATTGGTATTATATTAAACTTATATATTAATCTAGCAGAAATACATTTTTAATATTAAGTGCTCCCATTTAAGAACATGATAAGGAATTTCATTAAAACATGTCTTTTTTCATTTCCTACCTTAAAATGTTATAATTTTTAAAAAGTAGGCAAGTCTTTCAAATTTCTTATTCAGTTTCTTTCTTAACATTTTGTTATTTTTATTGCAATTATTAACGATATTCCCCAATTACATAATATATGATTATTGCAGGCATGTAAAAATGCTATTAGTTTTGAAAGTTTATGCTGTATTGAAATAAGCTTATTAAACAATTGCTAGCAGTAGTAATTTTCTAGATAATTTTCTTAAAATTTCCAAGTAAATATGCATAGATCATTTAAAATAATTATATGTTTATCTGTCTCCTTCCAAGATTTACATCTCTTGCCTTTTAATTATCTAAAAATGTTGATTAAAATTTCCAAAGACAGAAGCAGGGAACAAAGTCAATTAAGAGAAATATAACAGGCAAACTTGTTTTTCTAGGTATTTATGAAATCCACAAGAGTGTTCACAAGTGAGTTATAGGTAGACAATTATCATTTATCACAGACATTATTATTTCCTTGAAAATTTAAAAGAACTCTCCTTAAAACATATAGGCTTAGTTCTCCTTACCAGTTGTTGTTTTATAAACTTTCACATTTTTAAGTCTTTTATATCTGGATTTCTCTGCATTTAGGGGATTAGATTTTCTGGAAGTTTATTTATCTTCTCGCCCCTCCACCTCCACCCCCATGTCAACTCTAATACCTCAGAAGCAACTCTGGCACTTATTATTCATTTTGGTTTTTTCTTTTAATAAATTTATTATTTTCTGCTTTTATTTTTGTTGTTCAGCTGCTCTTTTAAAATAATTAAATGGTTAATTTATGTATTTTAATTATTTCTACACTTATTAATAATGATAACAAAATACCTCAGAAGCAACTCTGGCACTTATTATTCATTTTGGTTTTTTCTTTTAATAAATTTATTATTTTCTGCTTTTATTTTTGTTGTTTAGCTGCTCTTTTTAAATAATTAAATGGTTAATTTATGTATTTTAATTATTTCTACACTTATTAATAATGATAACACTTAAAGATATAAACATGTCTAGAGCGCAGCGTTAGTCACATGCCACAAAGTTTGATATGAAGAATCCTCACTATCGCTATTTTCTAAGTATCCTATAACTGTAGCTTTGGTTTAATCTCTAACCAAAAAAATCAAATAACTATAAGATGGGTTTGTTGTTTAATCTTCCTTTTAAAAAATTTGTTAAATTTCTAATTGACAAATAATACTTATATATATTTATGGGTACCATGTAATGTTTTGAGATGTGTTTACATTGTGGAATGATTAAGTCAAGCTCATTAACAAATCCGTCACCCACATACTTAATGAGTAAAATTCTTTTCTTTGTTTTGACTTTAATTACAAATTTCTAGATATAATGCATTATGATTATACCATGTGGTCTATATAATTTCCTCTTGGGGGATTCTGTTTTTCATAGACGTTTATGACAGTGATCTATTAAATACATTATTCCTATCATATTATTCAAATCCTGTAGATTCTTATCTGCCTAGTAAATCCTGTCAAAGCCAGAGCGTGTTAGTTTCCCACTGCAACTGAAACCATTGTGTTGTCTTATTGTTCTGTCCTTGTATGTCTGAGCCTTTAGCTTCATATATTTTGATGCACCGCTATTTGACACATAAAAATTTCTATTTGGGGAGGTGTTGTAACTTGCATTAATATAAATTGATACAATTTGTCATTTAACCTTTTTGTCCTTGAAAGATATGAGACTGAAAGTTTAGTATCACCAACCTGACTGTCTGCAGTAAGTTTTACAAGTGATATCTTGCTTATGCATTTATTTTTAACTTCTAGGTCATGCTTTTTTAGATATGTGCTTTTTGAGGAGAACATATAATTGGATTTTAGTATTCAACTCGACCTGAGCATCTTTTAATGGAGACTTTGTTTAATTTGCTTTTCATGTCTTCAAATAAACATGTCTTTATTTTACTAGTGATTACCTCTAAGTTTTAAAAAATAATTTGAGCCCCTTTTTCTCTTCTTAGGTCACAAACTGAAACAATGTTTGTTGATCCTTTCCTATGTAAATTAAGGAACATAACATGATAATTTCTCCTACTCCTTTAAAACACTTTCCAGTGTAAGATAATATAATCCATCCTTCCTGATCAATTATTTATTAGTAGTTTTATATTATGTATTGTCTTTGTCAGGAATTATTTTTACATTTTCATTGCCTTTGCATGAACAGATTTACAATAATCATTTACACCCATGGTGCCCATTGCCAGACCTCCAATGCCACAACTTCCCCAAGCTTCAGTTCTCTTGTTTTTTTAATTTTGTTGTCTCTCCTGACGAGCATGGGTATATCCAAAGCTAGAAACTGGATGTGTATGGGATTTGTCTTCAACTATGAAATTCAAAATATTCACTAGAATATGTGGACATAATGAACTCTGCCCTTGGTAGTTTCAACGGTTTCAATGACTACTCACCAAGTGGTACTTCAATTGAATTGTTTTTTGGATAAGTGATTTTAGGGATTCTCCTTCCATCTCCGGATCTTTCTGCTAATAAATCATTCCAATAGAAAGTTGCATTAGAATCACGTAGGATACATTCCCAAGTTCTTTAATGCAATAGCATGAAGAAAGCACAGCACAGAGCAGACCCTTAAAAAACACTGGTCAAGAAAAAACAAAACCCATGGCATGACAAAATACCACTCCATAATGCACATTTTTCAACCAGAAATAATTGAATTGCTAAAGAGAAAAGAACTAGAAGCTGAGCTAGCAAGAGAGTTCACTTTGACCATTATATATTTGACATAAATTTAAACTAATGAGATTGTATAACAAAATCTCACTACCTAAAAATCCAAATACACATTTCAAGCAGTGTCTACAAGCAAAGCTGTGGCTTAGGTCCTAGGTAGAGAGGACTACTGACCCTAACGCTCTGTCTTCAGTCCACCCTTCCCTCCTCCAACCCTGCTTCTCACGTTCTTTTACGTCCTTCCCCTTCTGTTATTCTTCAACTCTTTCACCCACTTTATGACTGGCTCTTTCACTCCATCACCCACTTTATGACTGTCACTTTGTGTTGGCTCTCTGGACTCCTTGCCATTAGTCTTTCTCCACTTCTTTCCTTTTCTGTTTGCCCATCAAAATTTAGCAATTACCTATTTAATCCCATATTCTCCTATACATTTGCAGTGGGATGTGGAAAAGTTATAAAATGGAAGCTAGGAACAATGCAAGAACACATGTCCTGTATGATGGCCATAACATTTGTGCATTCCACAAACAATTTAAATTCAGCATGTCCCAAACAGAAGTTACTTAATGTCCCACCACACACTAGATCACACACATGTAAAATCTGGAAGTCATTTTAGGAAACAGCTTTTTCTCTCACCCTCTTCAGCTTCTCCATCCCCAAGTCCAACTGACTTTCCCTCCCAACATTTCTCGGTCTATGCCTCTTGCTTCACTCCTGAGCCTTCTATTTTCTAGTCTCTACTCCTCCTAAGCAATCTCGTTCACATCCACCTCTTCAATTACCATATACAGGCCAATGACTTTGAAAGTCGTACCTCCAGGCCTTCCTCTAAGCTCCGGACCCATATAGGCCATGGTCAGCTCGACATTTCCACATGGGCATCTCAAAGTCACCTCATACTCTGCATAGGAATGACCAAGCTCATGATCTCACTCCGAGATCTGGGTTTTCTCCAGAGCTATCTTATTTCATTGAATAGCATCACCATCTGGTCAGTAGCGTATGCCAAGAGGCCTAGTTTCCTTAACCCACCATATTCCTTACTCTCCCTATTCAATCCAATACTAAGACCTGTGGCGCTTACCTCCTAAGATGCCTTGAACCCATCCATATCTCTCCATCTTCAGTGTCAGCATGTTCCCCGAGCCTACCTGATGTCTCACCTGCACTTCTGCACCTGCCTCCTAATCACTACTCCCGTTCATGTATGGATCATTCTGTGCACAGTAGCCAGACAGCTGCTTCAGAAATGAAAATCATGCCATGCTACTCTCTTGCTCTCAACCTCTCTGGCTGATTGTCATTGTTCTTAGAACAAAACCACACTTTCCCACATTGGATTTCAGGATTCCGTCTGATCTTGGCCCTTGAGTACTTCTCCAACCTCATCACCTACTGTGACCACCCTCACTCAGCATCCCTCCAGCCCAACCTGCCTGCTTTCCATCCTTCAGACACACCATGGTCCCTCTTGTTCCAGAGCCTTCACTTCTGCCACTCCCTCAGTCTGGAAAAACCACGCCCATTCCATCACCCAGTTAATGCTTCCTGACTGTCCGCATCACTGTTATCAGGGACGTTTACCTGAGCCACTGCCTTCTCCATGGTCCTGGTCTGTTTGAGCTCATATTTTCCTTTCCTTCACTGCCTTGTTCTTCTTGGTAATTACACATCCCATTAGTGGATCATCTGATTAATCTCTGCCTCCCCTCCCTCTCAGGCTTAAACTTCATCGGAACAATAGTGATGGCTCTTTTCCTCACTGTCATGTTCTCTCTGCCTGGCACAGGACTGGGCCTTGCTAGGCTCTCAGTAAAATGTCACTAAATGACCATCTGAAGATGAAATGCCCCGGCCTCCACCCCAGCTCAGACTAGCAGCACTCTTCTGGATACTGCAGCAGCCTCTTGTGGGGTCTCCAGGCCTTGAGACCTTCGTCAACGTTGGCCTCAACCATTGTCAAGACCGATCGCTCCCATCCCAATGCAGCCTTGTCACTGTGCACTTGCACCTGGCCAAGGGCCCTTCAGCGGTCGTGTGGTAAAGCCCACGTATAAGTGGCCTCCTTGACCTTGCCCCTGTTTAACTCTACAGCCTCGGCTCCCGCTGCTCCTCATCTCGTTCTTACTTGTGCGCTAATGAAACTGGCTTTAGATCCAAGGTAAACCATGACGTCTTCTGACACTTGTACACTTTGACTTATGCTGTCCTCTCTGCCTAGAAACCCCTCCACACTTTCTTGACTTCTACAAACCCTACTCATCCTTGAAAATTCATCTGAGAATTCATTTCCTCTCGGAACCCTTGCCTCTGTTGTGACTCCTGATTTTTTTTCTCACTCTCCAGACACTGTCTACAACTCTATCCTTAGCACTGATGTTAAAATGGTCCATTATATCTCTCCATTCACTACTACCAGGCTGAAAGTTTCTCAATAGAAAGAACAAGTATTTCATCTTTGAATTATCATTTTTGACATTGGCAGGTGTCATTATCTAACATAACCTTTGGCATATAACACATCATAAATAAATGTTTATTGAACTGGCATAAAATACAGACTATTGTACCTAGTGACCTTTTGAGGTATTTTTTATTTTACCTTAGAAATTTCACCTTTCAAAAAGTTCCCTCATCTACCAGTGTAAGCCGAAAGTGTTATGGTAGTCAATCACTTGGTTAATAAGTAGATCTGTGCCTAGTCTAGGCCAGGCACTGGGCTAGGTGCCAGGGATTCAACAGTGAACAAGATGAGGAACATGCTTATTTTCAGAAAGAGAACAGTCAGCAGAAAACCCAAGAGCATAAAAATCATAATACCTAATACAATTAATTTTCTTGATTAAGGGCTCTTAGCAAACAGAATTAAAATGAAAGACCACCGAAAAACATTTAAATCAAATGAGCAATTGCAGCAAAGAACACTGGAGGATGAGAGGAGAAGGACCCAAGTGGGTAGCACAGGGCTGGAGCAGGGAGTTGTTGGGCTCTACGGGTGAAGGGCCCTGGCCTGGATCTGCCTGCAGCCTGTCTCGGGGGATGGCAGGGATCCATCCATGCTGAGCAGATCCCCGAAGGAGGCCACATCATCAAGAGACAGCTCGAGTGGGTCTGACAGAAGTTGGAGACAAACGTGAAGGTGTAAGTTGAAGAAATATCCAGCCTTTAGTCCTTTCGATCTAGATGAATAAACGTAGAAAACAACTCTCTACTGAAGAAAATGCAGAAACGGCATAGCAGGGGTTCCTTGTCCGGTGTATATAAAAGGCAAAAAGCTTGTCTGGTCACTGCAGGCCCGAGTTCTGGCCCTGTTTCTGAAACTCGCCAGCTTTGTGAACTTCAGTAAGTTGCTCCCCTCCTGGGCCTCTGTAAAATAATGGCCTGAGCTAAACTATTTTTAGGGTTTCTTCCATCCCTAAGATCCTGCTTTCAAACCTCGAGGGCATATATATGTTCAAGAGAACTGGCTGCTCTGGGTCAAGAACTAAAGTCCCACGAGCAGTTGCTTATGCTGGCACCAGCCCAGAGCCCCTGACGTCTGCAGAGCCCGAGGCAGGGAGGCCACAGCGGGAACAGCCTGTCGAAACACTCACAACAGCGAAGCCAAGGCAGGGAGAGCAGTGCTGAGAATGTCTGCCATTCACCGAACGCCTGCACCTTGTCAGGCACCTAGCTACTCTCGAGACATGCTCTCATTGAATTTTCACAAGTAAACCTAGAGCTCTGAGTATTCTGTTTTGCGGAGAGAAAACTGAGCTCCTCGCCCTTCTGCCTCACTCCGTGTACCTGATTCTAACAGCGGCAGGGTGGAGAGCCTGCTAACATTCAGGAAAATCAAGATCAGGATCGCTTCTGCGCAAAGCCAGCCAGCTCACACAAAGCACAAGGAAGGCCAGGCCACAGACACGAGCACACTTACTGATGTTCACAGCGATGCCATTTAAAACCACGTACTGTTTCCCCATGTGCGTCAGTCTGGCTTGACATGCATAGTTCCCTCCGTCCTCGGCTGACACATTCTGCACCAAAAGCTTTTTTTCCCGAGAAGTAAACCGCTCCCCTTCAATCTCTCTACAGTCCTGAATAGAAAAAAATTTAAAAAACACAAAAATTCAATCCAATGAATATTTGGGGGTTACTAGTTACACCCCTAGTTAGCACCATCCCATGAACTGTGGGAGATACAATGGTATCCCTAGACCTTAGGTAATTTACAATCTAACTGTAAGATAATAGGGAGGGAGGTAGGTAGAGCTGTGGATTGTCCCCCCAAACTCACTGAAGCTTAACTCCCACTGCAACTGTTGAGGGTGGAAAATCCTATTATGATAACTGAAAAGCACAACCTTGAATTGGTGATTAGATTGTGAGGCCCATGCCGTAGTGAGTGGATCATTCCATTTGATGGTTTAATGGTGGTCATGGGCATGGTTCTGATGGCTTTAAAAGGTGAGCACATGAGAAGTTCTATCTCTTGTTTCTGCCTTTCTCACAATGTGACACCCTGTGTCATTGAAGTCACCACCAAAGAAGGCCCTCATCAGATGTGTTCCCTGGATTTGGACTTCTCAGCCTCTGAAACTATAAGCAATAAATATTTTCTTTACAAATTACCCAGTTTCAGGTATTTATGTTATAAGCAACAGAAATGGACTAATACAGATAGACAGACAGACAGATAGATATACACAGCAAGAATTCCTTGCCCAGTCTCTCTGTGTGTAAGCATATCCAGGTGACTTGACAAAGAATATTTTACAGGCTAAAATGAGTGACAGAAACATTAAGTCTAATAGGAACTGCGAGGACAGAGGCCTACGTAGGCTGAAAGTAAGACTTCCTGGAGGAATATTGTGCCTGGGTCATAAAGGATTTTGGCAAGAGGCCATGAACAGGCAGGAATGTCCTCCACCTATAGGGGCCCATCTCTCCCAGTGGACCCCCACCTAGTGGCACCAAGCCCCTTTGCCAAGGCTACAAGTCCAGGTGAATAGTGACTGCTCCTCTGTGTTACAGGCTGTTACATCTTCTCCACCAATTGGGGGCCAGACTTTACCAAAATCCAAAGTAACTCTTCACTAGCATCTTATTTGGAGGCCTGAACAATAGCCAAAGAATGCCAGCCAGGCTTAGGGAGAGCAGATGTCACATAACTTCTCACGTCGCCCATGCCTCCGCTGCAACAGGGAACAACCTCACACCCAGCCAACTGAAGAGCAGCTAGTCTCAGGAAGGCCTTTCTCTCTTGTCATCCTCAGCAGCCACCCAGAGGACAAGCCTCACCATCCACCTGTCCTGTGCGGAGCTCACATTCTCATGCTAATTGCCACTGGTTCCATCTCACACTTTTGACCTCCTCAAACCTGTTCCCCTTCCTGCAGGAAGCTCCCTCCACAGAGTCACTGCCTGACTGAGTCCACTTATCCATTCAAACATCTGCGGTCCTGCTCTTAACCCTGTCAGAGACCCTGGCCATTTAATGTAATAGATAAAACAAACATGTAAACCCCTAGTTAAATCAAGATGTAATTGCCCAGGTATTGAGCTCTCTCATCACTTAGTTAATCACAGTTCAGAGCCATACCTCATTCTCCACCACGGAACAGTGTGAATGGATCCACCTTGCAGGGTGAAACTCAACAAATAAAGCCAGAACGAACCTTTGTTTATTTACAGTGTGAAGTATGGCTAACTAGAAGTCTTACATTATTTCCCTATAAATACCTTATATGGGAAACCGAATTACTATAGGACAATTGTTTACCAAATAGAATGGGAGTTGCTGGTAAGAGTCAGAGTGGTGAAGGCATCAGACTCACAGTGCGGTGTCTCCTTTACAGAACAGGCAAACACACACTGGGCCTCTTTTCCTATGTTCCACTGCTGAGCAGTCTCCTTTCTGATCAACTCACTGTTTCTTTCAAGATATGCAAATATTTAATCATATTAATGTTAATCTGGACTGCCTCTATTCTGATCCACTGGAGCATTATTTTACATTTTAAATTCTCAGCAAGCCTTGATTTTTATTTTAGAATTTTAAGGTGATGTTACACTAACAAGATTTAAAATTAAAATATTAATAACAATAGCAGCTAACATGTGAATGTCCATATTTTAGACACCAAGAACAACAACCCCGACTCAGCATGTACAATGTTTCAGAGACACAAAACAGCAACGTTCATTCTGCTAAGATGCAGTGGGTATAGGAGAGTTACGGAGATAAAACTGCTGAGCAGTCAGAAGCCATCACAGAAAACCAGGAGAAGAGACTGAACATCTGAAGCTCTCAGAGCGAGGGAAGATGATGATCAGATTTGCAAAGCAAGACCAGAAGATGACCAGGGCTGAAAGTGTGGCGAACCGCAAGTTCTAAGACCCAGATATAGAGGATGAAAATCCAGTGACGATTACGAAGGAAGAGCCAGAAAAAATTAAGTAGGATAAACAGAGACAAACAATGAGTGAATCTCAGAAGGAAACGAGGAGGGAGTTCCAGCTGACGGGAGTGTCCCGCAGTGTCGGAGGCCACCAGGGATCACAATCAGGATTGAAAGTGAACGTTGGTTTGGCAACTGGAGAGCGCGAACTAACCTCATCAAGTACAGAGACAGCACAATGGCGGGGACAGGAAACCAGTGCATGGAGCAGGAATTTAGGATTATTGCTTTTCCAGGTGTGGATACTTCATCACCTACAGGAATGGATGTTCTAATACCGAACCTTTTCCTCCATAACCCCTTCAATCTCAAGGACCATCTCTACCCTCAGTTTCTGTTCTCCCTGGACTTTGTTACTATCCAGAATTACTATGTCTCAAAATTCCTAAAATCAAATATACTACTTTCTGATCATAATTCCCTATTATTCTAGTTCTTTGATTCGTTTATTTAAACTAAATAGCATATAGTATTTATTTATTTATTAAGTCCTTATTATGTACCTATGCTGAGCTAAATGATTAGTGAATAGATAATGTTATTTAATACTCAAAACAATGCTATGAACGGGCCGGCCCGGTGGCGCACTGGATAGTGCGCCGCTTGGGAAGCGCGGCGGCGCTCCTGCCCGAGGGTTCGGATCCCACATACAGACCGGTTCTCGCTCACTGGCTGAGCGAGGTACGGGAGCAACACCGAGGGTTGCGATCCCGTTGCTGGTCCTGGTCCGGTACGGGGGTGACACTGAGGGTTGCGATCCGTTGCCGGACACGGAAAAAGACAAAAAAAACAAAAAAACAAAAACAATGCTATGAGGCCATATCTCTCAGTCTGGATTTAGTTGCAGGAAACAAAACCATTCTAGCTATTTTATGCAGGAAAGGATTCGAGACAGAATATTAGGTGTTTTACAAAGGCCATAGATGTACTCGAGGAGTAGCATCTAGGCCAGAATCCCACAGCACAACCAGCTGGCTGTGAGAGCTGCTGCCTCTACCACAGCCACGAAAGTGGGGAATCCAGGCTGAAATGCACCACCTGCAATTCAGAGATGAGGAGTTGCTCTTAAGCACCAGAGTGTGTCAAGTCATTCCATCCAGTAGAGCCACATCAACAAATACATCAGAAGTCTCAGCTCCCACCAAGCTTAAAACTGGACCCTGGAACACCACGGCCGAAATTCCCATGTCTCCAGCCCATGCTTTCCAGTAGAAAAAGCAGGAAGATCCACCATCCTCACCTTCACCTTTCAGCGATGCCAGCTGGAGAACCTGCTCCACATCTAGAACCTTAGCTGCAGGCGACTCTGGAAAGTGTAGGGTGCTTTTGATAGTTTTCTCTTGCATTCTAGCTTGACAGCCTCTATAGGATGAAGAAGCTCACTACGGACAGTGAGTATCTTCCCACTGTGTCTATCATAGTTTTCTATCTGAACTTTCTCTCCATGCAACCCACTTCTCTGTCTTAGCTTGAATCAGCCCACTTAACTCCTCTATTTCCTCCTAAT